GAACAATGAATCATGGAACACTTCATCTAGAACTAATGATGTAATGTATGGGGATTAACATAAGAATAAAAAAAAATAAAATAAAATAAATTATCTAAATTTATAGTAAAAAAAAAAAAAGAAATAGAGTTTGTGGGACTAGTGTATAGTGTGTCCTTTTCACAGTTGCAGAAACTAAAGTTTTTAAGGAAACTACTGGCTGAGGCAACTCTGTGGAGGTCGAAATTTGAAGATGGTGAAAGAGTCATGACATTTGCTGTTCAAAATTCCTGTCCTCTTTTCTTTCTTACAATCTATGGTGATTTCTCGGGAATAAACATATTACTGCAAGTAATAATGTGGCGATTATTGGTATTACTATAATTTTATTGATGGAGTTTTAAAATCTCATGTATCATCTCATTTAATTCTCACAACTGAGGTAGGTGACAGAGCTAGGATGTTCATGGTTCAATTAAGGGTAGAAAAGTTTTTGGTAAAGAAGTAATTTTATGTCTTTAAACCTTAAATCAAAGTGCTGCTGGTACGACTGTTACCTACTTATCCTCTCCCTTAGTTTTATCTTTCTACCAATATCTTGCTTGGTACACAGAATATTTTGAAGATTGCACATGTATTATATTATGCTGTTCTAGATGATGTCAGATATTATGTGATATTTTTTCTGCCCTACTTAATAAGTATTTCACAGATATAAAAAGAATCTTTGATAATAGTTACAGAAGTTGGGGAAAACAATAGGTCTTAGGTCAAAACAAGCTGGGATTCTACAAATCAATCAATATGATACAATACATTAATAAAAGAAAGGACAAGAACCATATGATCCTCTCAATAGATGCAGAAAAAGCATTTGACAAAGTACAGCATCCTTTCTTGATTAAAACTCTTCACAGTGTAGGAATACAGGGAATATACCTCAGTATCATAAAAGCCATATACAAAAAGCCCACAGTGAATACCATTTTCAATGGGGAAAAACTGAGAGCTCTTCCCCAAGGTCAGGAACACGGCATGGATGTTCAGCCTCACCACTGCTGTTCAACATAGTACTAGAAGTCTTAGCCTCAGCAATCAGACAACAAAAAGAAATAAAGGCATCCGAATTGACAAAGAAGTCAACCTCTCACTCTTTGCAGATGATATGATACTTTATGTGGAAAACCCAAAAGACTCCTCCCCAAAATTGCTAGAACTCTTACAGGAATTCAGCAAAGTGACAGGATATAAAATCTGCACAGAAATCAGTTGCATTTCTATACACTAACAATGAGACAGAAGAAAGAGAAATTAAGGAATTGATCCCATTTACAATTGCACCCAAAACCATAAGATGCCTAGGAATAAACCTAACCAAAGAGATAAAGGATCTGTACTCAGAAAACTAGAGAACACTCCTGAAAGAAATCGAGGAAGACACAAAGAAATGGAAAAACATTCCATGCTCCTGGATTGGAAGAATAAATATTTTTAAAATGTCAATGCT